TTCCCAGCCCCCTGCTTTTTTTTTAAGGCATATATATATATATATATATATATATATTGTTTTGAATAGTGAATGTATTACAATCGGAACAGATCTTAACTATACCAGGAAGTATGCATTGAGACTGGTTTCCATAGCCGGTCTCGCAGTGTTGTTTTCTCTCGGCAGTTGCTGGGGTTTGAACTCTCTCTCTCGGGTGCTCTCATCGCATCCTCTGCTGTGAACCAGCTCCACATAGGGACGGCATCTGCATCTTGTGCGAGCCTCCTCTTCACTTACCTATCCCTGCTGTTATCCATTTGCTATTCTGGTAGGAGACTTTTTCACAACTTGAAAACCTGCTCCTTCTTCCTATAGGTATTTGCACGAGGAATTTGCAGAGTCCTGGTCAGTTCCCAGATTGGCAGAAGGCTTTGACGTCAGCACTGATGTTATCCGGAGAGTTTTGAAAAGCAAATTTGTGCCCACTTTGAAGCAGAAACTGAAGCAGGATCAAAAAGTCCTCAAGAAAGCTGGGCTTGCCCTCCCTGCCTGGCAGCGCCCCAGCTCTGGACACAGCTTGCCGCCATGCAGTGCGGGCTCTTTGCTTATTCCAGGGGATGAAGCCTCAGCCACAAGTCAGAGTCACCACACTGCCTTGGAAATGATAGCGTCTGGCGCTCACAGCAAAGACTCTCCCAGGAGACAGAAGGGGGGCAGTCAGGGAGTGCAGGGCCTGCGGAAGGAGAGCGAGGTTCCCTGCACCACAGCCTCGGGTCATCGGAGAGAACTGCCGAAATGCCCCCGCAGTGACCCTGAGGACGCCACGCCTGACGGCAGTAGGTTGCCAAACAGGGACAGGATGCAGGAGTTGAAGGCAGGGGAGCCAGATGGCCAGAACTTCAGCCCTAAAGTTGTACAGAGGGGGCAGGAGTTCTATGATAGCAATGGGAACTTCCTGTACAGAATTTGAGCTGGGACTAGCTTTGGCATTGACCTGGGCAACTGGCAGGTTTTTGCCTATGAATTGGCCACTTTGCAGTTGGAGGAAGTGAGGAACCTGCAGTTTGGATAGATTGAAGCTTCCTGGAGCGTAGCTTCCAGTCTGACCCCCGTGGAATGGCAATCCTCAATCACCTGCATTGGCTGGACTTCCCGGGTATTGGAATCTGCCATTTGTGTGGCTGTGAGTTTCTGTGATACTGGTGACAATATATTTGGGAGGAAATGAGGAGTCTGCCTTCTGACTTTATTTCCTCCTTGGCTGCAGAACACTAAGAATACTAATAGTGCCCAGTCACCTGTTGGTTTTCCTTCTGAGCAGAAGTAAAGTCCAGTGGCACAATGTGGCATTTGCTTGCTACTCTGTGGGGCTACAATTTGTGTGAATTTTTTTTTTTTTTTTTGGTCAGTTGTGAGGCCTGAACTCTGGGCCTGGGCGCTGTCCCTCAGCTCTTCAGCTCAAGGCTAGTGCTTTACCACTTGAGCCACAGTGCCATTTCTGGCCTTTTCTGCTTATGTAGTGCTGAGGTATTGGACCCAGGGCCTCATGCATGCAAGGCAAGCGCTCCACCACTGAGCCACCTTCCCGGGTACAATTTGTTTAAGAATCTGAGAGAGTGAGAGGATGGAAAAGGTGGAAGGAAAAGGAAGGAACCCGCAACCCTTGTCATTAAACTTGTCCAGGAGAGACTCCTAAGAGCCGTGTGCAGGGCACTGGCTCAGTGGCGGATTTTAAAGTTGAACATTTTTCTCCTAGTTGCTGGGGTTCTGCAAAAAGTAGAAAGCAGGCAGGCATAGGCTTTATAGTCACCAGTGTAATCTCTTTTTTTTTGGTCGTGGGGCCTGAACTCTGGGCCTGGGCGCTGTCCCCCAACTCTTTATCTCAAGGCTAGCACTCTGCCCCTTGAGCCACAGGGCCACTTCCAGCTTTTTCTGCTTATGAGGTGCTGAGGAATCGAACCCAGCATCTCATATATGCAAGGCAAGCACTCTACCATTGAGCCACCTTCCCAGCCCTCTCCAGCCAACATTCTAAAGGTTAAATGACATCTGATTCTACAGAGGTGCTATGAGGTGGGCAAGAACAGATTTCAGTCCCTTTTATAAATAAGAAAATTTAGCTGAGTGTTGGTGCTGAGTCGTGACTCAGGTCTCCACTAATATAAAAGAACACTGCACTGTGACTACGCATTCTGTTAAATCTGTTGGTTCTTTTATTAGTCCTGGCTGTGGCTGTAAGTAGAATGAAACATACAGAAAACAAAACAACATTTCCAACAGCGTCTGTTTGCCATACATGTTTGAGTGAATGAAGGTTGTTAAAACACTGACATCCCAATTCTGCTGGAATTGTGATGCCACAGCAATTTTATTTATTTTTTATATTTTGTCGGTTGTGGGGCCTGAACTCTGGGCCTGGGCGCTGTCACTCAGCTCTTCAGCTCAAGGCTAACGCTCTACCACTTGAGCCACAGCGCCACTTCCTGGCTTTTCCGCTAATGTGGTGCTGAGGAATCGAACCCAGGGCCTCATTCGTGCAAGGCAAGCGCTCTACCACTGAGCCACCTTCCCAGTCCCTGCCACAGCAATTTTGATATTTGTTCTTTGGTATACAGGACAAAGCCCCATCACATGACCAAAATTCTAGAAACCACGGCATAACCCTTGCTCTCAATGTCTGTGATCATCAAGTAGTTCATGGTAAAGACAGATACTTTTATGGTGTTACACTGATGGACATTTCTCTGGAGATTTACTTAGGTATTTAATGCTGCTTGACAAGTTACAATTGTCACTCTAACTTGGAAGTCATCTGTCTTTTTTTTGGGGGGGTCCAGTTGTGGGGCCTGAACTCTGGGCCTGGGCGCTGTCCCTCAGCTCTACCACTTGAGCCACATCACCACTTCTGGCTTTTTTTTTTTTCTTCTTCTTCTTTTTGGGTCCGGTTGTGGGGCCTGAACTCGGCCTGGGCGCTGTCCCTCAGCTCTTCAGCTCAAGGCTAGTGCTCTACCACTTGAGCCACTGTGCCACTTCCGGCTGTTTTTCTTTGCTTATGTGGTGCTGAGGAATCGAACCCAGGGCCTCATGCATACCACTGAGCCACCTTCCCAGCCCAGTCATCTGTCTTTTAAGGCCCTTTCCCCATGGTCTATAGAAATCTATGAAACTGTAAAAGTTTATAGATGAGTTTTCCATATTCCTTATCTATTGTCGCTGTGACCAGATGCTAGATAAACACAAAGACTTTCCAGCCCTGGCTGGTTTTGAACTGCAGTCCTCTGATCTCAGCCTCCTAAGTAGTTAGGATTACAGGTGTGAGCCATCAGCACCTGGCCTTGTTTTTAATCCTTTTTTCGATGCAGAGGATTGAGCCAAAGTCTTCTTTTGCCTACTCTTTTTTGTTTTTAAGACAGGGTCTCACTGCTACCATTGATGGCTTTGGCCTCATGGGATTATAGGCATGTATCACCAAAACTTTAGGGTTTGAACTCAGTTCCTTGGACTGGCTAGGCAGGTGCTGTACATCTTGAGCCAGGCCCCCTAGGCCCTCCTCCCTTTTAAATCCAGGTGGCTTTTTTGTTTTTCTTTTGGTCGGTCATGGGGCTTGATTTCTGGGGGGGTGCTGACCCTGCGCCCTTCAGCTCAAGGCTAGCGCTCTACCACTTGGACCACAGCGCCACTTCCAGTTTTCTGAGTGATTCATTGGAGATGAGTTTCACGGACTTTCCTCCCCGGGCTGGCTTTGAACTGCGATCCTCAGATCTCAGCCTCCTGAGTAGCTGGGATTTCAGGCATGAGCCATGGGCGCCCGGCTCCAGGTGGCGTTATTACCATCAGGCCTCCCATCTCCGAAATCTCCAGGTCAGTTCCCATTGCCAAAGGCAGCCTCTTCCGTGGTTTTTTTGACCGTAGATTTGTGTTTTAGAACCCTACGTAAAAGACCAAGCAGGCATACTCTGGCATCTGGCCTCTGGCGCTGGCTCAGCTGACTGTAGGAATTGGCCAATTTACGTATCTACGAGTCACACGGAGCAGGCGGGACTTCCATTTCGCGGGCCGTACCGCGATCCTCTTCTCTCCCGTCCGAATCCCGTCTGCTCCCTCCCCAGGCCGGGGTCTCGGGGTGGAGGGCGAGCCGGCCTCGGAGCGCAGACCTGGGGGTAGCGCCGCCGGCTGCCGGCCTCGGCGGGGCCGCGCGCGCCCAGCCCTGCCCCGTGCGGGCCCGGATTGGCTGGCCGGAGCCCTCAGTAAGCCAGGAGCGCTCCCCCGGCCGGCGGCGCCCGCACGCTGCCGCTCCGCCTCCGGCTTGGCAATGTCCCTTTCCGGGCGCCGTCCACTTCCGGTGTGGGGCCGGGACTTCCGGGGATCCCGGAAGGTGGTCTTTTCCGCGTCTCTCGGTCTCGCGCTGCGGGGGCCGCGGGGGCCGCGGTCGGGGGCCTCGCTGACGGCGGGCCGGGCGGGGCTCGGCGGCGGCGGCGTGTCTCCGGCCCTTGGTGGCGCGGGGCGTCCCGGCGGCGCTGACCCGAGCGGCCGCGGCCCCGCCGCCGCCCGCGCCGCCCCCTCGGCGCACGGTGGCCCGGGCCGGCGCGTCCATGGCCTTCCCCCACCGCCCCGACGCCCCGGAGCTGCCCGACTTCTCCATGCTCAAGAGGCTGGCGCGGGACCAGCTCATCTACCTGCTGGAGCAGGTCGGTGGCGCCGGCCGCGCGGGAGCGGGCGGGGAGGCGGCGGCCCGGGCCGGCTCCGCGGCGGAGCCGAGTGCGGGCGGGCCCGGCCGGCCCGGCGCGATCGGCGCTCCCCGCGTTTCCCCCGGGGGAACAAGCAAGCGCGATGGTGGCGGGTGGACGCGGAGGAGCACAGCGGAGGAACGGGGAAGGACGGGCCTGAACAGAGACGTGGGCAGAGGAAGAGTTACATGGAGCTCAGCGGTAGAAGCTTGTCGACGGGGCTCCCAGGCTCCATCCCGAGGACCCCTTAGAAAAGTTCCACGCGCACAGTAGACAGCCACCGCAAATTCCAACCCCCACGTCCATTTGAGACCTGACGTCATTCGCCATGAGTCTGGCAGCGATGGGTCCATGGGCCAGGGAAGGCCAGCTCGGGGAAAGTCCCATACTAAATGGGTGGCAGTAGGAATGAAGTGATGGCAGATCTTTAAGTCGTAGTAAAAGAAGACTCAGATTTAACTCATTAATTCTTGGCAGGGACTCTGGTGTTGGGTGACTGGGAGGGGGCTTGGGGAAGCACTCTGCTGGATTTTCTCTTCCATTTCGTTTTTGCAGCGCTGGGGGTGGGGGTGTGTGGGAGCGAGGGTGTGGTTTGAACCCAGCCCTCACAAGTGCAAAGCACATGCTCTACCACTGAGCTACATCCCCAGCCCTGCCCTGGATTTTCTCTGTTACATTTATAACTAGAACAAAAATACCACTTGAAAAATAGAAAACGTGTCACAGTTACCTAAGGGAGTTGCAGGGTACAAGGTGGTTCTGTGGTCTTTGTCTTGGTTCCTCTTGAGACCAGGGGCTGTTGGGAGGCAGTAGAGAGGAGATAGAGGGTAAGAAGGACACAGTGCAGATCAAGGTCACTAGCGAGCTGAAGACTGAGTGACAGTTACCCTGAGAAAGGAAATGAAGCATCTTTCCAGGATAGGTGACTTTTCAACATAGGCATTTCAAGTATGGGTGAATAACAAATGAGCTGAGGTAAATGCCATCCAGTGTCTTCCCAACTCAAGAGATGTGGTCCTGTGGAACGGGTGGCCAGACACATTCTCAGCCAAGGGGGCATTTGTGATATACGGGTGAATGACCAACATACTATGTCTTTTCAGCTTCCTGGGAAAAAGGATTTGTTCATTGAAGCAGATCTCATGAGCCCTTTGGATCGAATTGCCAATGTCTCCATCCTGAAGGTATCTCCCCTCTTTCCAGGGGACTCTTGCTCCTCTTTGCTCTTCAAGCAGTTTTTCTTGGCATGAGTGTCAGATTGATGAGGAATGATTACCTTTTCGGGGTAAAGAGTGACTTTAGTTGAGTGGACAGAGGGATTTGTGATGGTGTTGGTGATGTGTCTGCCTTGTTTTCTCTTTGGTTTCTTTTTCTTTTTTTTTTTTTGGTCGGCCATGGGGCTTGAACTCTGGGCCTGGGTGCTGTCCCTCAGCTCTTCAGCTCAA